TTTAATCCCGACCACCTTGCGCCAACTGAATGTGGTCCTCGCCAGGCCAGAGACGTATCGCAAACGTAGGGTGTCTGTCACAGCTTAGGGCCACGAGCTCCCAGACTAAGAGCACTGCTGAGAGGGGATAGCAGAACGATAGTAAGCGTCCGAATGGCAAGCTGGCTTGGGTCTGATTTTAAATCAGAACAGTGTCCTCCAAAATATCAGCCCTGTGCTTTCTTCTGCACCAAGTGCAAAGGCAGAATCTGGCAGGGGAGCTCTGACCCCAGAGCATGCAGGCTGGTGCAGTCATGGTTTGGGATGGGGACCACAGGTGAAGACTTTGTTAAAGTTTTTTGAGGTGCGGGTGAGAGAAGAGTGGGCCCAAAACTGGGAATCCACTGTGTCTGAGGTCCCCGAGTCCTGGCTGTGAAAGGCTTACAAGGTGGAGCTTTGACAGCAGCGGGGAGAGCTAAAGCACAGGATGGTGCTCAATGCACACAGACTTGTGGATGCATGTTTCTTCCCCCTTGAGCTGGTGTGACTGAACTCAGCACGTGAATGTAAACAGCTGCTCCCCTGGGCTGAAGTGTGTGCTGGATGTACTATGTGGACGTCTCTCCAGCCTCCCTCCCTCAAGAGACTACCTTAAGACTGTCCAGCTCAGATGCCTTGTGACCTAAGTGGATGGGAGCCCTGTGCCCCAGAGATGAGATGTTAGCACAATGTGATTTCTGGGGAGTCGCACGTCACGCAGTCCAGCTCAAGGCGGTGTTAGTAATAGAGGCTGAATTTGGCTGACTGAACTAGAGGCACAGCTGCAGCTGGAGAACTTGAGGGTTGACAGTACGAGCTTCATTTCTTTATTTTGTAAGAATGACTGGCCTCCTGATGCACATACTCGCGTTGTGCCTGGCTCTGAGTTTGGGACTTGCAGCTAGCTTTCCCATTGACTTGACCCGGAGAATGTCTGGCAAGGTTTCCCTGCCTCTTTGTGTGGGGTTCATTGTTTTAAAGTGTTCGCCTCCTCTCTGGCACCAGGCTGAGTGCGGAAGGTGGATTTTAGTGCTGGCATATTGGACACAAGACTCGTCCCATGCTAAAACAGAGGGGAACAAGGCTAACCACCCCTATTAGAAGTCCATTCAGCCAAAGGAAGGGTGTTCTCAATCCCTGACTGACAACACATGCAACGTAGTCCTGTCTCGCAGCTCCCATCCACTCGGATGCCCAGGGCCACCACTGTTGTTTGCATAGATTTAGTCCGAGCGGTAGGCTGAGGCCAGTGCAGTGATGCCCATAATTCCTTCCCTGACAGGAGTGGTAAAAAGATAGGTGATGCTCAGCCATGGAAATCCTGTTCTTCTGAGTCAGTAACTCTGATGACAGTAGCTTGGTGGTTGGGCTGTGACTTAGGTGAGCCTGTGAATGCTGAATGCCATCCAGAACAGACAAGGGTGGGAGGCCTTGAGGTAAGTTTCGACATGCTCCAGAAGCAGGAAAGAACACAAAGCTGACTGTCCTTGCACTGAGAGCTCTCTGTTGGTTAATGTCCCCCCCCAGCGCACGGGGAACCCTACCCAACGACGACGAACAAGGGCCCAGTGTTGGCATGGCCATTTTTAGCAAACTTCACAGCAGAGGAGTGGAGGGAAGTGATATCCGGGGAGAAGCACCAAACATGTTTACAGCAGCTGAACAATAACCTGATGCTGTGCAGTTCTGCACGGTAGGGCACTGTGTAGGCATTGTAGCTGGCAGGGCCAATGCCTCGCTCTCTCCTGTAGCCAGCGTCTGTGGGTCAGCTCTGTCTCTGTGATGCCATGAATTCTACCCCAGGGTGCATTGCGTGGGCACAGAGGTTCTCCAGAATCACAGTTTCCAGGTCTGCTGCGACCAAATCCTGGTCTTCCCAATGACTATGCTGACTCAATCACTGCTATGTTTTAAAGAAGTCAGTAGAGGCAGGATCCAGCAGGGAGAAACTGTGGCCCTTAGGAACACCTGGGCAGCGTGAGCATTTGGGAGTTAATTCTAAAAGCAGGGAGGTTCCCCTAAAGTCTGGATAGGGCAGTGATGAAAAACTGAGAAAGGCAAGTCTTACCAGTGCTGGACGTGGGCACAATCCCATTGGCTTCCTCAGAGGTGAATCATCTTTTATCAGCCAAGAACCTGACCCAAAACCGGTAGGTGAACTTCAGAGAAACCTGGCTGGGGGAATAATTGTACAGCACGGAGGGCTGTGGCTAGATGTTGCCTATTCGCTCACATGCTTGATATGCAAACCAAGATGCGATCGACTGCGGTGAAGTCTCTCAAGCAAGCTGCTCTACACAACTGATTTTTGACTTTTCTGTGAAGAGAATAAAATGAGCCAGAAACTCACATTTATAAATCCATTCTAGCATAAGCACAAAACTCCTTTTACTAGCTTTGACATGCTGGCGAGGTCCAGTGCGGATCAGATGTTGCTCTCCACTTGCAGCTTGGCTAAATTGTCACTGAAATCAAGGGGACATGCCCGCATTTAACTTCTGGCTTTTTTTTTGGTACATTTATTGGATTTTTTTGTCAGCTTTCTATTAGCTTTTATACAGTCTTTTATAGGTGTTTCTAAAGAATCATAGAATCAATGAGTCAGAAGGGACCTGGACAGATCATCGAGTCCGACCCCCTGCCATGGGCAGGAAGGAGCACTGGGGGTGGCAGGGGATCATAAGACCCCAGCCAGGTGCATCTCCAGTCTCCTCTTGAAGATTTCCAGGGAAGGTGAGAGCACCACCTCTCTGGGCAGCCTCTTCCAGGCTCTGGCTCTGGCTAAAGAGAAGACCTTATTTAAGGACTATTTTCTGTCTGATTGGTTGTTCCCATTGTCATGATGGACGACTTACTTTTTCGGAGCCCTGCTCTGCTGTTGGCTGCTTTGAAGAAGACAGGCTGACTTCTCAAAGTGGCAAGTATAATCCCCTCAAGGTCAGGCTCCTCACACCACGATACGGAAATGAGCAGCTGTAGCAGGGCACTAAGGTGCCTGCTACTGGTAGACAGTAAAATGGGCTCAGCTGCCAGTCACCAGGGCAGCACAGGTTTGGTTGCCGGGGCAACCAGTCTGGTCAGCTGACCGGAAGGGGGCAGGGCCTGGCCTATTTAAACAGCGAAGCTGAGCCCAAGCAGCAGTTTTCCTCTGGCGGCTGAGAGGGTAGGAGCTGTGTGGCAGCAGGCAGTTCCCCACTAACATTGAAGGGTGAAGGAGCTTTGCGGGAGTGTTGCAGCCTGTAGGAACTAGATGGCCTGAAAAGCTTTGGTTAAGGACTGGGTGGAGCACACCCTGGTAGGGTTTTGAATGATGGCAAGCCAGATGGCTTAGAGTTTGTTGCAGCCTAGGGGCTTGAGGTTTTTGGTTGTTTGTTATTACGCCGGAGGACCGGATGAGGCTATAAGGGGTGGAGGAGGCCTCATAGGGACCCCACGGTAGCGGGGGGGTGTTCCTGGCACCACAGAGGGTGCAGCTTTGGTAGGGGGCAGCAAGAAGCCCCGGAGTGAATGACCAGAGGACTGGGTGAGGCTGTAGGGGTTGGAGGAGGCCTCAGGGGAGCTCCCCAGAAGGTGGCGAGTTCCTGGCGCTAGAGAGGGCACTGCGTTTTGGGTCGTCCTGACCCTGGCCCCAGGTGGGCAGAATCGGGCGAGAAGCCCCAGTGGGGCATTGGACCCTGGAAAGGGGGTCCAGGGGGGCCAGGTAAGGCTGAGGCTGCCTGAGCCCCAATTGTGGGAAAGCCCCAGTGAGGCGTAGGACTCGGAAAGGGGTCCTGAGCGCGGGAGATGGGCGACCGTGAGCGCGGGGCCCAGAGGTTCGGGTGCGCTGTGTCACCAGAGGCAGGGCCCGGATTAGGACATCTTAAGGCATTGTGCCAGGGAGGGTTAGAAAGGCAGCCTTCCTTTAATATTAACATCAAAGATGTGGCTGACGAGATATCGAGGGTGCATTAGGCCTGATCTGGCACAGTTGGTAGGGGGCGCTAGGGGAGGTCACGGCACCCCCAGGCCCCGCCTTGCCACAGCAGCCCAAACATAGAAGTCAGGGTCAGGGTTGCTTGGAAAATTTCTAACAAGACAACGGTTGAGACTTCAAAGGGGTGGACAGGAAACATGCTTGCAGAACAAGCTGCTGTATATATCTATGCGCTGGAATAACCGTGGGGTGCTCACGAAATTACAGCGTGGGGAAGGCTGAGTGGAGACTACAGCATCTTCTCCCCTCCTAGCAAGCAGACCTCCTTTGATTTTTATGCATCATTGCAAAAGTAACTTGCAGTGTCTCCTAGTCCTTTTTTTACCACGGCCTTGACTTCTGCAGCTGTCCCTCCTTCTCCCCACCCCTCATTGCTTCCTGTCTTCCTTCCTCTTCCTCTCCAACTCCACTTGCAGCTGTTGTGTACTGCTAATGCCCCTGTGATACTTTGCTACGGCATTTAACTTGCTACATCCAAGCCTGTCAAAGACAGTGTGCAGGTTTTTGGCGATTGTGCTTTTAGAGCTCAGCTACAGATAAATTCTTTTCCATTTGTATTTGCTGCCCTTTCTTGAAAATTACCTGAAACAGAACATCTGGACCCCCACCACGTGCTCTACTTTCCAGAGCTTTCCCGTAATGGAAAAGGGGAAGTCTGATACTGTCCTGAGAAACGGGCTTAAGTGTGTATCCTAATAGCAAGCAAAGGCAAAAGTTCCTACTTGTATTACACCTGGTGAAGATGGGCTTAACTTGTTAGTCACTGCTTCTCACTGCACTGTTTATTTAACTTGAATCAGTGCTTCCATTTCACCTGCTGCTCATTCAGAGCATATATTGTGAACGTAGGCTGTAGGTCTCATGCCCTCTCTCCTCTAATCCCACTGACTGTCAGATCTTGCTAAGTTGTAGACATGCCCCTACTATGCCATGCACTTCCTGGCTGCTTTTACCTACAGATAATGGATGTGTATGACAAGGTGGAAGTCATAGATAACTCAGCGCTCACTTTTTCCACACACTTTTTTATTCTAAGACCTCTGTTTGCCTGTCTGTGGTTGCAGGCTCTCCTTCATACAAAAAGAAAGGTCGGCTCTCCAACAGATTTTTGAACAAAGAGTGCTGAGGATTACTGAATACTTAAGCTTTGAGCTGCACGTCTTCTCCCTTTTCTACAAGTCACCAATGGGGTAAGGGGCTATGAGCTCAGCTATTGCGGCCTCTCATTAAAGAAGTATTTTTTCATGTGAAACTGAACATTTCAAAAAACCAATCTTAGAGCTTTGTGGACAGGCCAAAATTAGCACATTTTCGAGGGATACATTACTCTGGAAGTGCAATGCAAGACAGGCCAAGTATTTAACCCTGTCAACTGTTATTCTGCAGGGAAGAAGCTTCCAAATCATTTTAACAGGGATTTGTCTTTGAAGGTGAAGTCTGAGGTATATGCACAGGTGTTAGCCACAGCATTCTTCTGCAGCTTATAATGCACAAGTCCAGAAGGTATTTACACACGGTAAAAACAAAGCAAATGCAAGGCGTTTTCTGCAACAAAGGCGGAAGTCAGTCTCCAGTCCTGCAGAGACAACAAATGCTGCATCAGCTTCTCCTGGGTTCAGCTTTCAGTTGGATGTCATTTCTTCTCAGTAAATGGTACACCAGTTGCTGCCGTCACTGGGCATCAGCCCACCCGTGATGAGAAGAATAAGGTCAACAAACCACCAGATGCCCAGTCCTCCAAGAGTCAACAGCTTTCCTACTGCTGTCCCAGTATGACCCAAGCAGAACCGATCCACTCCAAAGCAACCCAGGAAGAAGGAGTAGAGTAAAGTGGTTATGAAGTAGTGTCCAGTGTACCTGCAAACAAGAAGATCAGAAAGCTCTGTCAAATACAGTTTGGCCCAAGAGAAATACTGCCTGGCAAACCTGATCCTTTACTTTTACCAGCTTCCTCCTATCTTCTCCTTTGTGGCCCTGTCCAACTGACAGCGGGGAAAAGTTGCACAAACTGCAATGCAACCGTGGGCGTAGCAAGACTAAAATCCAAGCTTACGAGCTGCTTCCCAAAATACTTTGGCAAAGGAAGGTTGGATCCGTGCAGCTACTGAAGTACCCCAAATAGCAAAACAGAGCAGAGTCTTCCATGCCGCGCGTATCCTGCCCAAACACAATCTTACTTGATGCATGGCTTATTCCCTCGCAGAAAAGTCCGGGGCTCTGCACACTCGATGCCTTCTAGCGCTCGGCACTGCACCAGAGTATGGTCTACGTCGCTATAGGCTTGGCCGCCAAACTGTTGGGGGAAACATTACGCACAACTGAGAACCGAGTGTCCTGGCAGCTGGTTCCAAGGACAAAGAGGCGATGGCCCTCCAGCAGGACGCGTCTTCAGATTCCTGGCTGGTTCAGTGAGCACCCGGGGTTTCATTCATTCGCCACAGCGTTTCTGGCCCTTGGGTGTACGGATGCTTCATCAGGTAAGCTACAGTTTTCATCAGTCTGCATTTTGTCCTGCTTCCCTCCTCCCCACCTTTTTAATGTCAGTGGGTGCCTGTGGACGTGATTGCGGGGCTGCTCTGACACGCTGTAATTACAGTGTGTCAGAGCAGACTTGACTAAACGAGTATGCTGGAACATGGCAATTACTGCACTCCAGCAGACTGTGTCTCTTGTATCAGCGTCCCCATGCTTCAGAGCGGTGGCAAGGGCACCAGAACTAAACCTTGCTGAACGAAGCTGCAGGCTTATGCACCAGGGGCTGCTAACACACAGAGATGCTATAGTGCCCTCCCCTACCCAGAGAGCAAGTGTAAAAGTGCCCAGCAGGGACACAGTGTGACCTAGTGGACAGCACAGCATGCTGGACAGCAGTGAGCTAGGAAATCTCGAGCACTTCAGCCTGGTGTTTTCCTCCCTGAGGGCAAGAGCAGATGGAAGGGAAGGAGAAGAGAGCATGGAGTCACTGCCACTCTGGCAACCGTGCAGTTTACATACCCCGGGGGTTGCACACCAGGCCATGCCCTTCACAGAATCATAGACAATGAGGGTTGAAGAGACCTCAGGAGGTCACATCTAGTCTAACCCCCTGCCCAAAGCAGGACCAGCCCCAACTAGATCATCCCAGCCAAGGCTTTGTTGAGCCGGGTCTTGAAAACCTCCAAGGATGGAGAGTCCACCACCTCTCTAGGTAACGTGTTCCAGTGCTTCACCTAATTTTTCCTGATACCCAACTTAAACCTCCCTTGCAGCAACTTCTGAGCCCACTGCTCCTGTTCATCTGCCACCACTGAGAACAGGGCCCTTGTGCCAAGAGGGTGCAGCAGAATAACCTGCTGAATAACCCATCTCTTGGGGTTTAGTGCTTGGCTTCATGCCACCAACACTGCTCCCCTCCTCTCTGTTTCAAGGACTTTGAGCAGCACCCCAGGAGCAGCCAGCTGCTTTGCCACTGGCAGCACCAGGCTGCTCCCCGACCTTGAACTCAGCTGCTGCACTGGGGCCCTCGGGGTCTAGGCTGCACGCGTCTGTTTGCATTCTGCACATCACCCACCTTGACACAGCCGTAGGTCAGCTCTTGCTGTGCTGTGGCATTGCCCAGGTGGTCCACAGGCTCGTCGCACGCCACGAACTCCTCAGGCCTGCAATGAGAGCTGGTCAGGGTCATGATCAGGGCTATGCGCACCCCCCGGTAGGGTTGCCAAGCCTTTCGGGATTGCCCCAGTCTCCAGGAATGAGGGAGGAGTCTCCAGGAGACGGCCCAGAGGCACCCAGGGGGATCACTGAAAGGGCAGTCATTAAAAGAAATATGAAATATAATATTATATCATATAATGTAATAGCACATAGCATAAATATAATACTATGATGTTACATTATATTTGTATGTAATATAAATATATGATCTAATAAAATGTAAATGTAATATAATACAAATATAGTATTAATACAATACCAACAGGATATTAAGGTCATAGTGTAATGGCAAATTACATTTGTATCAATATGTAATATAAGATTATAATAAAATATAAATGTAGTATGCTAATACAAATCTATTAATATAATGCAATATAAATGTAATGCTATTAATGTAAACTTGATATAAAAACAATATAATATAAATATGATCTAAACATAAAATAACCTAGTTATAAAAAAAAAATACAGTATTCCAGTGGGTTTTTAAAATGCAACAGTGACGTGCATTTGCTTTGCTGACGTAATGACGCGTTAATGTCATGACGTCACGTGGGGGAGCCTCCCGGGACGGATTCCAAAGGCACTGCAGCCCCCCGGCCCGGCCTGGCCCTAGCGCTCACAGGCGCGAGCAGAGGACAAGTGGCCCTCGCGGGTCTCCGTAGGTCCAGGCGGGCGCCGCTGGCTCTCCCTCAGCGGGCCCGGGCCCGGGGGTGGTGGCGTTGTGCTGGTGGCCCCGTGACACGCCGTGCAGCAGCAGCAGGTTGCCGAGCAGTAGCGCCGCCTGTCCGCACAGCAGCATGTAGCTCAACGGCCCCATGACGGCCCGGCCCGGCCCGGCCTGGCCCAGCGAGGTAGGCCGCGGCGGAAATAGCGCAAGTTAACATGCGCAGCCAATAGTAGCGCAGAGCACAACGAGGAGGCGGGGCCAATACGAGCCGCGTGGCTCTGACTTACACCCCAATAGGCATGGTTGGTTGGTCGGTTGGGAGGGGGCGGGGCTATGGCCCATAACAACGGCAGGCGGGCGTGGTTCAAGAGCTGGCCAATCAGGAGCGAGGGGGCGGGGACAAAGCTGGAGCCCCGCCCTGGCGTTAAAGAGACAGGGGCGGCATTGGGCGGGGGTGCTGGTGCCCCTGGAGTGGGCAGCCACGTGCGCTAGGGGCCTGGCTGCAGTGCAGGGTCTTGTGCACTCAGCCTCTTGTGCAATGCAGAGGGCTGGCAGTGCCCGGGAGCCTGGAGGGGCTGGTGCCCCAGCTCAGGTGGATGCGGTGTCAGAGGGCGAGAGCGAGCACACACGCAGGCAGTGCACCTGCCCTGGGTGCTGGCAACAGGCCCAGGCGCCACGTCCAGTCTGAGCCCAAGGCTGCCCGGGTCTGGAGCCACAGCAAGGTCCCCTCCGGTGCTGCGCAGTGGCCAGGTCATAGGTGTCCCACTGCCACAGCAGAGCACTGACATCACAGCCCTGCCGGTCTGCTTGCCCTACTGCGTGCCTCTTGCCTCCGCTAAAGCCATACCCAAAGCTGAGACTCATGGACAATGAGGGTTGGACAGGACCTCAGGAGGTCGCATCTAGTCCAACACCTGCTCAAAGCAGGACCAGCCCCAACTAGATCATCCCAGCCAAAGCTTTGTTTGGCCAGGTCTTCAAAACCTCCAAGGATAGGGACTCCACCACCTCGCTAGGTAACCCGTTCCAGTGCTTCACTACCCTGCTTGTGAGAGACTTCTTCCTAATATCCAACCTAAACCTCTCGCTGCAACTGGAGACCATTGTACCTTGTTCGGTCAATGGATGTAAATGAAGCTTATGGTCACTCGACATCCATGTACGCTACCAACGTGCCTGTGGAGTACCTTGGTGTTCATGTGAGTCAGCTCTGATGCAGTTGGCAGGATTTGATAGCGAGAACGCCCTGGGGCGTCTGCGATGCCCGCTCTCTGCAGAGAAAAAGCCTGTGTCTGTTCTGTACGAACAGGCACCGTGGGCTAGAGCAGCTGTTTTGAAAGCATCTTTGCAACCAAGGGATCTCATAACTGCCCTTCTCTTGTAAGGAACAGGCAAGCTCCTTCGATGGAACCCGAGGACTGGAGCAGTGGCAGCCTCCAGAAATCGCCACCCAAAGCAAAGGCGTGTGCAGGGTGCCGGGGGTGGCTTTGTTGGCTCTTCTTCGGTGACAGCTTAGTTGTCTGTGACAGAGGCAGAACCACCACAGCAGAGAGGACATCTGAAGGACTCTGCAGCGCGGGTAGTGTGGTGTCGTGCTGGTGGAAGGAGGTGTGAGCAGAGGAAACGGTCTCCTGCTGGTTGATTCTTCCTGCGTTTGAGGAAAAAGGATGTTGTATTTTCTTTGTAAACTAATCAGATGGTGTCAAAGATACCAACTTCCTCAGTTTCTCTGTTTAGCGGAGACAACCTGTCCAGCTGTTCATGGCTGCCTGCTCAGACTAAGAAGAGTCCCACCTGGGATGTCGGCCCGTGACCACTGCTTGATGTCATTAGATTGGGTTCTGTTTTGTTCCGTTCTGTACTGAGCCAGGAAGGGTGACAGGACTTTAGCTAAGTGAAGAAGCTTGTTCCTGGTCAAAGCTCCACTCTCCTTAACAAACGGGCAGCTGGTGCTTCTGATCTTGTAAGAGAATCACCCCGGTGGGATGATGCATCACCCTGGTCCAAGTGGCTGATACCTGCCCAGGGTCCTGGAGGCAGAGGAAAGATAGGATGCCTATTAATGAGGATGGGGAGATGTTGTGCCAGCTGCATGTGCCTGAGAAACATCTGGGGTAAATGTTTACTGGATCCTCTCGCTATCCTAAGATATGCTTGGTATTCATGTAACGTTCCCTCTTTTTCTGACTGCAGTTTCACATCCCTGATGACTTCCTAGTGCCCCAAACGTTGACTACCCTGTGCTTCATCTCTGATGTGTTCACTGGAACTGGCAGAGGCTAAACCCCAAGCAGCTTCCTGGGAGGAGGCCAAAGGCTTTGGTGACCAACGCTTTGGACATTAGTCAGCCTTGCTCGAGGACCCCTAGGTGTGCTTCTTGCCCTGCTGCTGACTCAGCCCCTGAAATTGCACCCATCCCTGTCTGTTCTTCTCTCAGTTCCCCTATTTGTAACATTAGGGCAACAATACAACATAACAGCGGCGTGCCGTCATTCGCAGACTCCACGTGCTGTGGAAGTGCCAAGCGTTTCTGTTGTCATTTTTGAGGCTGTGATGTGATGCTAATTATTGGTCTCAGCATCTGTAGGAAGTCAGGTACAGCACATAATTGGATATGAGCACATCTGGAAAACAGGCGAGATAATGATTGACTGCCTGTGTCTTCTTCATTGCTCAGAATGATTTTCACTGGCTGTACGCAGCTTTTTTTTTTGGTTGTTTTCCTGTTTGTTCATTGGAATTTGGAAATGTTTGCTCGTTTCTGGAGGAATGTGACCAGAAACCTGAGGGGCAGGTCTTCCTCCCGCAGCTTGGGGGAGAAGGGTTTCCAAGTTGCTGAGTGCCGGGGCTCTAGCCATCGTGATGAAGGAAACCAGTTTTCTTTTTTGGTCTTTAAGTAAAACAGGTTACCATCTTCCACATGGGAGTTTGGCTGCACGGCTGCTCCTAGATGTGCTGAGGAATTTCTCCTGTACCTGGCTGGTGGGTCTTGCTCGTGCACAGTGACTTAAATGGCTGGGGGGGGGAAATATCATCCTTCTGCCAGATGTGTGGGCTAGGATGGAGCTGTATGAGTTGCAGCCTCTTTGTATGTTGAGTTACTCTTGTGCAATTCCTCGCTATCTAGATGGAGTAATGAAAATAAAGAAAAAAGCACAGAAGGTGCCAAAACCACCCAAAGAAAATTTCCGTGTCCAATAAATAAGCAAAACACCCAGAGGAGACAAATCCTGTCAGTAGGACCACATTATTTTCTGTCCCACACTGCGTTGCAGGAGTCTGTTTGGTGATATGACTAACGTCTGTCACGTGTTATTTGTTCTCATCCTCTGTGCTCTGGCATGTGCAACGGGCTATTTTGTTTTGGCGAGGCAGTTTTGAATACGTGTGTGGCTGTATGATTCTGGTGGGGAAGGCAGGGCAGGGAAGCGTGCCTGACACCTGCAGTGGAAGGCGGTGAGGTATACGCAGATGCACAGATCCTGGAGAGCTTGTCTTATGTTACTCATCTCTATCCCACGGACCACATTCATCCTAAAAATAGGAATGCAGCTTTTTGAGGGGAGGGGCAAGATGTGAGAACAACTATGAAGACTTTTGATGGTTTTGTATTGAGTTGAACAGGCCCCAGACCAGGACTTGCATTTCTAGTCACATGCATTGCTTTTAATGGGCAGAGTCTGTCCTTTCCCCTGTGCTTCCTTACATTTTAGGCACTGATCTTGTGTGCTGGTCTAAAAGACTTTATATCCAAGCAGAGCCCTCTGGGAGTCAGTACCACCTTGCTCAAGTAGGACCAAAACTTTGGATTATGTTACATCGTAGGGCTGGTGAATTGTGTGCTTGTGTGGTTTGGGCAACATCTAGTCGAGTGGGGCTGCGATCACTCAACTTCAGGCGCTGCCATCATACAATTCATGCGTACTGGTGCAAGAGCAGGTTTCAGCCTTTAATGCTTTGGGTGTGTGTATATGCACACACACACACGGTCAGCTATTGCTAGGATGGGTGAGGTACACAAAGGGAGGCAGGCAGACAAGAGCCAGACGAAATAAAATACCACCTCATGTTGTTAGCGCCTGCAATTTTTTGGCAAGTCTTGCAATAATGTATGTATTCCCTAAAGCGTCAGCTCCTGGAGGCAAATGACTAGGTCAGCATTCAATACCAAAAAAGTAAGCGTTTTGCCCGGCTGGCTGCAGAATCAAGTTGGACTGTATAATCCGAATGGTCAAAAGTCAGGGGCAAAGAAGAAGAACCCCAAGAGTATTGGTTAAACCTATGGTTTGCCATTGAGTCTCGTGATTTTTAGGCCCCAAGTAATGATTGCAGACCTTTGAGGTTGGCAGCACTAATTAGTCTTGCAGAGATGAAATCAAATGGGTACAGCATAAATTTTTCAGGCTCAGGGTAATGGAGTATCTTGCGCAGCACGCTTGGCACATCCTCACCGAGCCATGCATCCATCAGGCTGCAAGCATCCGAGGGGCCCTGTCAGCCTGGTGTCCCGGTGGTTTCACAGTCTGAGCTGGAAGAAGTTTCAGATCCCAGCTCTTGAGAGTTGCTGCCAAGTGCTGCGTGCCTTTCAAGGCACTCGGAGGCTGCGGTAATGTTCAAGAGATCCCCAGGTAGATAACCCAGGGCTTGGTTCTCTGCTTTCTCTAGGCTGCAGAAGTGGCTTCAGAGTTTCTTCCCGCTATGTGGGAAAGGCGAGTCCACCACACAAACCAGCAGATCTGATCCGTGACTTCCCCTAGACCCCGTGTTTTATGCTGACACCCGGTGGAAAAAAAAAAATGACAAAAAAAACCCCGGCAGGAAATGTTGAAATGTGTTTGGACAACCAAAGGAACAGATTTCTGTACACAGCATCCCTGTGCGGGGGGCTTCCCACAACCCCTTGTCCCAGAGATCCAGCGTTGCCAACTCTCATGATTTTTGGTGGTGTTCTTAAAGTCGGCGCTTCGGGAATGTGAAAACCTTAGCTCTTTCATGCGTGTATATATGTGCGTATGTATATATGCTTCTATATTGTATATTGTTCTTATTGATTTATACTTATATATATTCATACGATATCGTATTATTTATTTATATATATTCTTTTATATATTCTTACATATTGTATGATTCTTTTTATATAGTCTTATATATTATTCGTTTATTTATATATATTCTTTTATATAGTCATATATGATGTGATTCCTTTTTTTTATATATATATTCATTTATATATTCTTATATATTATTCGTTTTATATATATATCATTGTTATTATTTATTCATATGTACTTTTATATATCATCTAGCCGGCTGGGGTGACCCCTTTCGGCTGCAGTGCCCTGAGAGGGCTCCAGCGGTTCTGCCCCCTCCGCAACATCTGCCGGAAGCCCCGCCGCCACATCTGGCCGCCCCGCCCCCGGGC